TAAATATTATAATATTATAAATATTTTTTATTATAAATATATTATTATAAAAATTTTAATCAATCAATTTTGATTGATAATTTGGTTTTATCTCAGTTAAAGTAAGTTATATAAAATGAACAAACACAATTGTAAAGTCGCACGATCGTCAGCATATGTAAAATATATGCGCTCATCTGCTGGTGACGGTGATTAGCCGACAATAGAACAATAAATTTTCGTGTTAATGACAGACGGCTAATATCTCTATAGATAGAATCCAGCTACATAGCATATAAAGTAATATTTTTTTTCAATATAAAATCTTAAACAGTTGACATCTCTCTTTTTTTCGCAAATTTAAAAAGTAAAGCTTTCAAACTAAATTTTCCTCGAAATAATTCTATTCATCTGATTCACTCATGATGTTGTATAATCAATTCGCATAATGTATAATCATCATATATTCATCATATATTCAATGTGGTTGTACTATAAATAAATAAATTATTAACTGTATATGCAATTAAAATTAATTATGGGGCTATAATATGTGATTATTGTATAATATAATTGCGCGCACATCATAAATTATTAACAATACTTCAATTAACAATCTAAAAAATTGTCTACTTCAAACTGCGTTAAAAATAGAAAATATAGAGATATAAATTTAGCAGTATGATGTGAAATAATCTCTGCCTCAATTAAATAGAGGCAGTCATTCTTGGAATAACAAGTAAGTTTTAACAATGTTACAAATTGATGGATCTTATATAAAGATAAAATTTGCTCATCAAAGGAGAACGATGATGGATTTTTAAGCGATTTCCAAGAACGCCAATCGAATGACGAATAAAATCCTTTGTATCCTTATGAAGACTAGTACATGTCGTAAAGCACAGCTGGCCAGAGATTTACGAAGCATGTTGCTGAGAAAGGCGAAGAAGGGGTGGCAGAGGGTGGCGGGGGTAGATGGCTCTGTATATGACCAAAGCGCGAGCTCGGAAGAGACGTAGGAAGAGCTAGTAGGATTTATGAGACAAGAGAAACAATAGAAGATTACCTTTACCTTCTTCATTCCTTCTCGCTCTCTCGCATATAGCCCAGTAACTATCGATAGTCTGTAACGTTAAAATCGCGAGCGATATTCTTTTCGTGATGTTTGAGTAATCATGTAAACTGTCTTCTATTGAATTGATGTTTTTTTTATTATAAATATATATACGATATTTCTTGTATTTTGTATTTAATTTTTGTGCTTTATATATTTTAAACCTTTTTTATATATATCAAAAAAATGTTTCAAAATTATAGGTGATAATGAAATTAATTTTTACCAGTGTAAATATAGGTACAGATTTTAAAATATATATATTTCGCGTGAGGTATAGACCATCGTGTTTTAAATGTTCCAAAAATTAAATTTGACAAGACCAAACAGAAAACACAAACAAATACAAACAACACATATACACAAAGTAAAATAAAGCAAACTAAGATAATAGAAAAATCTGTACCTAAATTTACATTGGTAAAAATTAATTTCATTATCACCTATAATTTTGAAACATTTTTTTGATATAAAAAATACATAAAATATATGAAGCACAAAAATTGAATACAAAATACAAGCAATGCTACATTTAGGTATAATAATCGATTTAATATTGATAATTTAAATTCTGATTAGCGATAGAAGCTAAACTGGTCAACTCCATTTTTTTGTAAATTTATTAATTTTACAAGCGCACTAATTATGAATTTTAGTACTAAAATTAAGAGATTTATAAAAAGTGGAATTGATCAGTTTGGAGTATGAAAGGCTCGATTACTAAATGTTTTAAAATAGCATGCAATAACAGTCGTCACGTTCTTATTTTATTTTCTCGTCAGACGGTGTAATAAAATTTTAATGAATTTCGTGTGACAATCATGCCATTGCGGCGAGGAAGTCGCGGAAAAATGCCAAGGGAATCAGGTGTTTTAGCTGACATTTGTTGTGACTTTTATTTTTCGAGAGGTGATATGCCTTTTACGAGGGGGTTGACGGCACAAAACGAGGGGATGGACGGGCTTTTAATGAAAACGCAAGAAGCGTCACGGCGTAAGACAAGACCGCCACCGGAAAAGCCATCGTTGCTTATGCTTTTCCATCCTCCCTTCTCATAAAGTACATGTAAAGTACATCCTTTCATTATTCCTTAATGCTGCAGCCTTTGTTGCGGCTGTT